ATAATTGGCAAGTCACAAGTAGGAAAATAAAACTGTATCCTCATCTCTACAAAAATCAACTCAAGATGAATCAAGGACTTAAATCTAAGATGTGAAACTATAAAAATTCCAGAAGATAACATTGGAAAAATCCTCCTAGACATTGACTTAGGCAAGGATTTCATGACCAAGAACCCAAAAGCAAATGCAATAAAAAAACAAAGATAAATAGGTGGAACTTAATTAAACTAAAGAGCTTTTGTGTGGCAAAAGGAACAGTCAGCAGAGTAAAAAGACAACCCACAGAGTGGGAGAAAATCTTAAAAATCTATACATCAGACAGAGGACTAATATCCAGAATCTACAACAAACTCAAAAAAATTAGCAAGAAAAAAAAATCTCATCAAAAAGTGGGCTAACGACATGAATAGACATCTCTATCTTCTTTCAAAAGAAGATATACACGGGCCATCAAACATACGAAAAAATGTTCAATATCACTAATGATGAGGGAAATGCAAATCAAAACCACTATGTGATACCACCTTACTCCTGCAAGAATGGCCAAAATCAAAAAATAATGGAGGTCCATGTGGATGTAGCGAAAGGGAACACTTCTATACTGCTGGTGGTAACCTAGTACAACCACTATGGAAAGCAGTGTGGAGATTCCTTAAAGAACAAAAGTAGAACTACCATTTGATCCAGCAACCCCAACACTGGGGATCTACCCAGAGGAAAAGAAGTCATTGCACGTGTATATTTAGGGGAGCACAATTCACAGTTGCAAATATGTGGAACCAACCCAAAAGCCCATCAACCAACAAGTAGATAAAGAAATTGTGGTATTTATATATGACAGAATACTCAGCCTTGAAAAGGAAAGAACTAATGGCATTCGGAACAACCTGGATGGGATTAGAGACTATTATTCTAAGTGAAATAACTCAGGAATGGAAAGACAAACATGTATGTTCTCATTCATAAGTGGGAACTGAGCTATGAGTATGCAAAGTTATAAGAATGACACAATAGGCTTGGCATGGTGGCTCACACCTGTAATCCCAGCACTTTGGGAGGACGAGGCAGGGCAGATCACCAGGTCAGTAGATTGAGACCATCCTGGCTAACACGATGAAATCCCATCTCTACTAAAAATACAAAAAAATTAACTGGGCATGGTGGCGGGCGCCTGTAGTCCCAGTTACTCGCGAGGCTGAGGCAAGAGAATGATGTGATCCCAGGAGGTGAGCTTGCAGTGAGCCTAGATGGCGCCACTGCACTCCAGCCTGAGAGGCAGAGCGAGACTCCGTTTCAAAAAAAAAAAAAAAAAGAATACAAATTGGGTTCAGTGATTACAGCTCGGGTGATGGGAGCACCAAAATCTTACAAATCACCACTAAAGAACTTAACTCATGTAACCAAATACCACCTGTTCCTCAAAAACCTATGGAAATTTAAAAAAAAAAAAATTAAGAAAGAGAAAGTTACTTTAGCTCTATGAGCTGCTCCCTCCATTAGAAAGAGAAGCTCTAATATTCAAAAAATGGAAATGGGTGGAGGCCAAATTATCAGATCAAGGAAAATATTTATTTCAACATGGCAGAACCAGTTCGACCATTTAACTTACCAGAGCACGTACAGTGGCAAGCAGTAGAGACATTTGACCCCAAGACATTAAAGTAAAGAGAAAGCTCTTCCTACACAGGTTCAGAGTTTGTATGTTGAACCAAATATAAAAGCAGACCTAAAATGAATATATCTAGATCTTTCCAGTGGGCATGGAAGGGAAAAAAAAAAGGATAGGCTGCTCAACCCAGGAAAGAATTACACTCCTTTTCCATGATAATTTTCTACTTATTTTGATAATAATTATGGGGCTTTCTACTAACCTGCCTGGTTTCTACTCATCTGCTACAGATGCACTCTTACTTGTCAGTATGTCCCAACCACTTTCAGAATCTACAGTCCATCCTTTCATTCAATGAAATAATCTGTTGAGTAAATATGCCCAACAAATGCATGGGTGGTGGAGGGTGCAAAAATCCCTATGACAGATTTTTCAATTACTCTGGTCCTTTATAAATATAAATGGATGACCAAAGATCACAAGATCACAAAACATTTGATACAGACCAAAAGTATAAAGGAAATTAACAAAGGGAACATTCTATTCTCAAAGGAAATGGAATAGAATAAAATGTGTAACAATAGAAACAATTTTCAAAAATCTAATTAACAGCCTCAGAGAGATTTAAGAAGCTGTTGAACGAAACCAAAATAAGAGTACTATAACAAAGGAGCAATCATATTACACACACAGAAAAAGGGTTCTTTGAAATTAAAACAAATATCAAAATATGGTGGTGTCTCAGTTCATTTAGCATTGCTATAGTCAAATACCTGAGGCTGGGTAATTTATAAAGAAAAGATACAGGCTGGGAAGCTCAAGATCATGGCCCTGGCTTCTGGTGAGGGCTTTCATGCTGCATTATAACATGGCAGAGAAGGTCAAAGGGGAAGGAGACATGTATGAAGAGGCAAAACTCAAGGGGTAGCCTGGCTTTAAAACAACCCATAGTCAAGGGAACTCATTCACTCCCATGAGAACTAATCCAGTCTTGCCAGAGCAAGAACTCAGTACCACAACAATGCCACTAAGCCCTTTAAGAGGGATCCATTTCCATGATCCAAACACCTCCCATTAGGTGTCACCTCCCAATACCACCACATTTGGGATCAAATTTCAATGTGAGTTTTGGTGGGGACTAATAAATCATAGCCAAACCATTGCAAGTGCAGAAGAAACTAGTATTCTAGAAAAAGAGGTGAGCAAATCCATACTACAAGGCAAAAAAGACAAAGACTTAGAAATGTGAGAGGAAAGCAACACAGGGTTCAGATGTAAAAAATCCAAGATCTATCTAATAGTAATTTTATAACTGAACAGTGAAAATTAGCTAACTATTTGAAAAAAAAAAATTGAAAGCAAACTATCTTGAGACAAAGGTAAGAGTCTAAATTAGAAAATAAAGTCAAAAGACTTTGTAAAGAATGTCTCCAATATAAAAATAGCCATGACATGAATCTACTAAAGACCAGAAAGACTGATTATAACATACTGCCCGTGAAATGAAGACATAAGTTCCTTCCAATTCAAAAAATTGTGGGTCATATGGAACAGTAAGAGACTGGGAAAAACAAGTGTCCCATGAAAAAGTTTACGTCCAGATAAAGAGTGCTGTGTTTTTTGTTTTTATTTTTTTAACAATAATGAGAGATAAGAAACAATACTGCCCTAAAGAGCAGACAAAAGTGTCATTTTTCAGGTAATTTGGGACAGAAATAAGCCCTCTTTGTGTTTGTGATAGACATTACCTATCATCTTAGAAGATAGGTTTTATTTGTTAAAGTGAGTTGTGGTATTTATAAGATGATATTTTGCTTACAGGTGTACCTTTTACTAATTTCTCTTGAAAAATTATCATAGGCATAGGAAGAGTTTAAATTTTAATTTTTTTTATTTTAGAAAAAAAATATTTGTCTTAGCATAAGACATAATTGATGACACTCATTTTTATGAGACCACTGACAAAGTATTATAGTCTGGAAGTCCAAAATTATTCAAGTTAAAATAAGCTACAACAAAACCTGAATGCTTTTCATGATCCGTTTTTAACTTGAGAAGATTTTTTTTTTTTTTTACAAATTTTGAAGACTCCATTGCAATAAGTGTGGCAGTTTCTTTGGTTTTAGTTTCTTTCACTTGCTATTAAAATTCAGTAAAATAAAATTCAATAATCTTTTCTTATTTAGAAAAAGTTAAATGATTATCTATGGGTAATAGGATTGCAGTGTTTCCTAATTTTTTCTATGTATTTATGTGTATTTTCTCTTTTTCTTTCATCTACCTTGAATCTTCTTATGCCCTGATTATTTTGAAGGCACTGTAAGGTTAAACAGTGGCCTGATATGTATCCTGTCTTTGAGGTATTCATTGACTGTTGGACAAAATTGGCTATGCCTCTCATTCTTTTCTTATTTTCTTCATCTTCAAGATGTTAATAATATTATTAATATTGCCTGCCTTATTCGAGTTCATTGAATATCAATACCCTGACATAATAATTGTTGAAGAACTTATCATCACTGTAAGGATAAAAGCAGCTATTTTTTTTTCTCTTATAAAGTCTTAATACCAACTTTACTCATTGTAAAAATTATGTCATGCCTGGGCACAAGAATCTAATTACTCAAAGTACAGCCTTACTGGAGCAGGACACCAATAAAATAGGAAAAGTTATCAAATAGCCCACAATTGAGTTTACTATATTTCACTGCCCCTTAAACTTTTACTTCTCCCCAAAAAATGAATGAATAATGAATGAATGTACCAGCAAATGAATCAAAATAGGAGTTCAAGTGTGATCTGCCTATCAAAGCTCTATATGTATGCCAGTATGAAATATATGTGGATGTGCAATATTTGGAAGGCCTCAGACTGGGAAATATCTTCCCTAAACCAAGGGGAGAAATAGCATTGGGGACATTATAGTATCTTTTGAGTCTTTATGATAGAAGATGATCTGGATTACAACCAGATCAGTTAAGTGACCACGTGAACTACATGCATTGAAAACTGATGAATTACTTAGATACAGTACTTAGATACAGACCAACAAGTATCACATAAAAGGATTTCTTATATAAATTCTATTTTATGGGAGTCTAATACAATTTATCTTCTGATATTGATGATTGCTAAATGAATTTCCAAGGGTGCTGGTGATACTTGGGTAAAGTTGAACCCCCCACAGCATTCATATAGGTTTGCTTTCACCCACATAACTTAGCATCCTGTGATCACTTATAATATTTAGGGATCCCCAATTACTGGAGTGCAAACAGCGATTTGCTTTTGCATCTGCTATTCCCTATTCCAAGAATGTATTTCCTAGGATATATTTGTGACTGCTCCTGCCTTCAAGACATCCCATCAGAGAGGCTTTGACTCTCTTATATTTCCAGTGTTCCCTCAAACTCCCTAATCCTTTTACCCCTCATTATTACTCTCCAGAGCACTTGCAACCACCAAATATATGTGTGTTTGTTAGTGTATTGGGTTAAAAAAAATTTTTTTTGAGACAGGGTCTCACTTTGTCACTCAGATTAGAGTGCAGTCACACAATCGTAGTTCCCCACAGCTTTGAACTCCTGGGCTCAATGATCCTCCCACCTCAGCCTGCAAAGCAGCTGGGACTACAGTCTACACCACCACACTCAGCTATTTTTTACATTTTTTGTAGAGATGGGATATTGCTATGTTGTCAGACTTGGTTATTGCTTATTTATCATTGTTCATTTTCCCACAAGTATTTAAGCTCCCTGAGAGCAGGTATATTCAGTTTCTTTTCCCTATTGCCTTGCATGAGGTAAACACCCAGTAAATAATTGCTATTTCAATGAATGGCATCAATGACTACCTTTTTTATTTTTATTTTTTACTTTAAAGTCAATACATATTTTGGGAGAGGTTTGAGGTTGAAAAAAATCAACACTTGCTACTGTTTAGTATTTCAAGGAAAAATTGGCATTGTAGTAAGGGCTAAAAAAATTTTTAGCAGGATCACAGGAAAAGCCATACTGAGAAAAACTAATAAATTGAAGTTAACAGTAGGAGCCTTATTCATCTCTCTTAGGAGATCTGAAGAGTGATCCTGACAAGATGGTCCATGCCAGCCGTAATAGCAGTGACACACAAATCCATTCTTCATAGCTGTTATTGTCTTCTGTTTATTGTGTTCAGAAATGATGAATCTGAAACTCTTGTTTAGAACATATTTCTTACCACTGCTTTCAGGCATATGCAGATAGAAGGAGGACTCAGGTGTTTTTCGAATACATCTTCCGTGATTGTTACATAGATTCTGACTGCAGAGCTTTGCTGCCGATGTCACATTCACAGCATAATGGCCCAAAGGCCCTCGGATAGATTGTTGCATAGATAAGCAGTTCTCCTGTAGGAAAAACAGAAATCTACTTAAAGCACTCTCAAAGTGTGCTTCCATTATCCAGGCAGTATTAATGCCTGAAGTTTTGCATTTGGTAAGGCTGAGGAGGAAGAGCATTTCTGTGGATTAGCTATTTAAAGGAGGGACTAAACCTTTATAGGGTCATGTGAATACGTATGAGCCATGCCTTTAACTGGGAAGACTATGAACCAACCAAATTCATTGGTGAAGATGATCTCACAGTGTCCCAGTAGAGACTGGTCCTTAATGTAAAGATATATTTGTAGTAATACTTTTAAAAGATATCATTAATATGGGGATGGTTTGTTAAAATTTAACTTTACTTGTGAAACATTTTCAATGATGATACTCAATATATTTTAACATTAGGTCAGATTTTTCAAAAACTATCAAGTCATCCTATTCTTCTCTCTACCTCTGATAACAATTCTCCTAAAGTTGATGAGTTCTCATCCACATTTTTATAACTTTACTAGGGGTGTGTGTGTGTGTGTGTGTGTGTGTGTGTGTGTGTAATTATGAACAAGAGGGGGTATTATTTTGTGCTTTTTAATCATTTACATACATATATCATGTACGATATTTTTGCAACTCGCTTTTTGAACTTAATATTTTCCATTTTTTATGTTGATACATGTAGCATTTTTTCATTTTAATTGCTGTTCAATATTTCATAATATAAATATAACATACTTTACTTGTCCATCAGTCAGTTTTTAGGAGGTAGAATATAAAAGATCATTATTTACATGAAATGCTAGTGTTACTTGTACATTGCATATAGGGTCCAATGATAGCAGGTAAGAATGTCTTCCCACAAGTCTACCATTGGGTATTTCATTGATGTGTCCATAGCACTGGGCTTTAACTTTAGGACACATTTCTGTACATTAATGATCATATTGTGCAGTTAGGATGGGCAAACCTAATTGAAATGATATTATCAGCTAACCCAGAAGAGCCTGGCTGGAATCTTGATAAATGTCTGCCTTGATCCACACAGGTAGGATCATGGAAAAATTCTAGTAAATTAATTAGTAATATAAATTGAGTTTTCTATTAGCATTTAATTATTTATTTTATCAATATTTAAACTCATGCATAATTTAAAACCAATTAAGCTTAGAACAGTGGGATATTTTCTCAGTGAAAGGAGGCCCCAGAACTGTGACTCCATCTGGTAAAGATTTGGGAGATTCAAATTGAAAGTCATAAGGCAGAATAAAGTTCTTAATTGACAGGTAGTTGAACAAGGCCAGCACTTTGGCAATAGTAAATTCTGAAGATCATGTAAGCAATATTATTTGTTACAGACACATTCAATCTGCGGCAGTCTCATACTATATTTAGAAACACACGCTGTTTTTAGTCAGGACAAGACTCCTTGTCTGAGGCATCTGAGGAGGTTTCTAAGAAAGACACAGTAAAATAAAACAGGCAAACAATTGAAGCAAAGGAAAGAAGAGAAAAGGGCAGCTGGGAAGGAAAAAAGAGGAAGGACGAAAAAGCAACCAAGAAAGACAGAGGTCGGGAGGAGTCAAACAAAGACAACATAGAACACTGGCAAATATAATCAACTTCAACTTGGGCATTCCCTGTTCTGTCACAGCCGTCCTCCTTGCAATACCTTCTTCACTTAGCTTCCAGAAGATCACATCCCTGTTTTGTCCCCAACCTCACTAGATGTTCCTTCTCAGTCTTCTTTACTGGCTCCTGTTCATCTTTCCTACATTTAACACTGGAGTGCCCCTGGCTTAAATCTTAGACCTCTTCTCTTCTATAGCTGTACTATTTCACTGAATAAACTCATCCCATCTCATTACTTTAAATACAATCCCCAAATGTGTATCACCCAGACCTTATCCCTGAATTGATTGTGTACCCACCTACTTACTTGACATCTCTGCCTGGATGTTTTACAAGCATTTCAAACTTAACGTACTCCAACATAATCTACTGACCCTCTTCCCAGAGTTCCCCATCTCAGCATAAGCCAACTTCCTCTTTCCAGTGCCTCAGGAGCAAAACCTTGGAGTTATTCATCACTCCTTTTCCCGCTTACAGTTAATCCATCAGCAAGTCCTTTTCAGTCTACCTTCAAAATATATCCCGAATTCAACCCTTGCTACCATTCTGTTTCAGGTCACTAATCGCTCTCGCCTGGATGATTGCCTCCCAACTAGTCTTACACAATCTGTTCTAAATACAGTAAACATACATATGTTTCTCTTTATAATTAAGTAAAATAGGAATCAACAATAAAAGAAGTAGACACAAAAATCCTAGTTTTTTACAGATTAAAAATACCCTCCCAAGTAGCAATTTGGTCCAAAAGGAAATCTTTTAAATTACAATTTCAAATTAATTAGAAAAATAAAAACAACTGGAATACTACATGTTAAAATATGTTAATACATCCAAAGTAATTTTCAATGTCAATGCCTAGTCATAAGTGCTTTTGTTTACTGGGTGATCCAATTATCAAACCAGAAACAAGGCATTTTGGCATTGGCTTTCACCTGGACTCCCATTCAGCTATACAGCAGTGTGCACTAGTAGCTGATGGGGTGCTGAGTGGCACGCTTTCCACTTCAGCTTTTTTTTATGCTTCCTATTCCTTCAACTTTCTGCATCTTCTCAGTCACTTTTCCACTTTTAGAAGCTCCACCTTAGTGGCTACCTGCTTCATTGAATCAGTGCATTTCCTATCTCTGTCTATTATCAGAAGCTGGTCACCAATTTCCTAGAACCCAGCAAGTGATATTCTACCTATTATGGCAAACTTTCTTGACTTTCGGTGTATCTGGAGCATTCACTAAATTTCTAAAATTAGCTTCTAATTTTAAATCTTTATCCAAAGAAATGTGCACCTTTTTGTGGAAGTTTATCCTCTACTCTGTCTTTGGATCTGAAAGAAATGTCCTAACATTTTAAAGCATGCTAATACTAGATGCAAAAGTAATACTTTTTATTGCAACAGCTTTGATTATTTAACATAGAGGAATAAAATAATAAATTAAACAAGCATTCAATTCAAGAACTTAGAAATATAATTTTTTAGAAAGCAATCTCATGAAAAGAAATAATAAAGTTAAAAGTATAAATTTTTGAATTAGAAAATTGAATTGATAAAGAGTGGGTCTTCAAAAAAAGAAAACCATCAAACACTTATATCTGACAAGCCTAACTAATCAAAAAAAGAAGAGTCATGATTGATTGATTGATTAAGTGGTTGAACTCAGTCTCCAATTCATTGATAATGCATAGCTTGAAGCATCTACCCATTGTTTCACCCTTTGTGAAATGGTTGGTTCTTGAGGCATGGTCAGCCCTCATCATAAAACTATTAGGTGTGATTATATCCACCCTAAACAAAGATACTCCCAGATTACCACCCAGAAACCAAGGACAAAGGCCAGATCTCTCTTTGGGAAAAGCCAGATTCTTTATAACCCATTGTCTCTCCATCTCACTACCTCCTCTTCTATTTTACTATGAAAGTTTTGATTATATCAACCTTAATTATTGCTTCTAGAGTTGGATTTGTCAGCCTTTGGATGTGATTCCATGACTATTTCAGCTGCTCTAAGGAAAGATAATCTGTATTTAAAGTTTCACATCAGGAATCTAAAAGAGAATTTTGTCTATGTGACAGCTTGGATTTAATCAGACCATCCCAAATACATGCTTCAATTAGGAGAAACCTGTTAAACCATTTATATGTAATGTGGTTAAAAAAAGACAGGAACTTTACATATAATTTATAAAAATGTGATATACTACATAAACAGTAAGAAAAATAAAAATCATATGACCATCTTACTAGATGCAGAAAAAGCATTTTTTAAAAATTTAACACCCCTTCACAGTAAAAACTCTTACAACAATAGGTATAGAAAGAATGTATCACAACATATAAAGGCCATATATGACCAGCCCATAGCTAACATCATAGTCAATGATGAAAAGTTGAAGCTTTTTCTCTAAGATCAGAAATAACACAAAGATACCCACTCTAATAATTTCTCTTTTATTCATTTTAGTTTAATTATTTTCCTTTAAGAGATGGAGTCTGTCACCCAGGCTGAAGTGCAGTAGCACAATCATAGTCCATTACAGCTTTGAAATCCTAGGTTCAAGTCATTCTCCTGCTGTAGCCTCCTGAGAAGCTAGGACTACAAGCACACACCAACACACCTGGCTAGTTTTTTCTTTTTTACTATTTGTAGAGATGGTGTCTCATTATGTTGCCCAGGCTGGGTTTGAACTCATGGCCTCAAGCAACCTTCCTGCCTCAGCTTCCCAAAGTACTGGGATTATAGGCATGAGCCATCTCATCCAGCCAAGTCTGACCACTTCTATTCAACATAGTACTAGAAGTCCCAGCTAGAGCAATTAAGCAAGAAATAAAAATGAATCCGAATTTAAAACTATCCTTGTTGCAGATGATATAATTCTATATATAGAAAACCCTAAAAACTACAAAAAAATGTCATAAGTAATAAAGAAATTCAGTAAGGTTGCAGTATACAAAATCAACATATACAAATTAATTGAATTTCTATTCATTAATAGTGAGCCATCTGAAAAGGAAACTAAGAAAACAATTCCATTTACAATACCATTAAAAATAATAAAATCCTTAGGAATAAACTTAACCAAAAAAGTGAAAGACTTGTACATCGAAAACTACATAATATTGATAAAAGGCGTTAAAGGAGACATAAATAAAAGATAACTTATGTTTATGGACAGAAAAACTTAATATTGTTAAAATGTCCACACTGCCCAAAGTGATCTGCAAGTTCGATGCTATCCCCATCAAAATCCCAATGGCAATTTTTACAGAAATAGAAAACAAAAAACTAAACTTTATATGGAACCACGAAAGGCCCAGAAGAGCCAAAATAACCTTCAGAAAGAACAAAACTGGAGGCTTCACATTTCCTCATTTAAAAATACATTACAATTCTACAATAAATAAAACACTATGTTACTGGTATAAAGGAAGATATACAAGTCACAGGAACAGAATAGAGAGGCCAGAAGTAAACCCACACATATATGATCAACTGATGTTTGACAAGAGTGCCAAGAACACAACAGAGAAAAGATAGTCTCTTCAACAGATGGAGCTGGGAAAACTAGATATCCGTATGCCCAGAAACGAAATTGAATCCCTATCTTACACCACACACAAAAGTCAATTCAAACTGGACTAAAGACTTACTTAACATTAGACCAAATACTCTAAAATGCCTAAAAGAAAACACACGGGGAACGCTTCTTGACACTGGTCTTGGCAATTATTTCTTAGACATGACACCAAAAGGACAGGAAACAAAAACAAACATGGACAAATGGGATGCATCAAACTGAAAAGCTTTTGCACAGCAAAAGAAACAGCAGTGTGAAGAGATAACCTATAGAATAGTAGAAATATTTCCAAACCATATATCTGATAGAGGTCAATATCCAAAATATATAAGGAACTTCTATGACTCAGCAAAAAATCCAAATAACCCAATCAAAAATTAAGCAAAGGACCTGAACAAACATTTCTCCAAAGAAGACATACAAAGAGCTAACAGGTATACGAAAAGATGCTCAAAATCATTAATTATCGGGGAAATATAAATCAAAACAATGAGCTGTCACCTCACACCTGTTAGGACGGGTATAATTTAAAAAATAAAAGATAACAAGTGTTGAAGTTATAGAGAAATGGGAACCCCCAAATCCTGTTGATGGGAATGTTAAATGGTACAACAGCTATGGAAAACAGTATGGAAATTCCTCAAAAAATTCTAACTATAACTACTATGTGATTCAGTATATATGCATATACACTTCTGGATATATAAAAGAAGTGAAATTGCAATCTCAAAGAGATGTCTGCATTCCCATGTATATTGCAGCACTATTCACAATAGACAAGAAATGGAAACAATCCAAGTGTCTGTTGACAGATAAATGAATAAAGATAATTCACTGTATACATACAATGAAATATTAGTCAGCCTTTTAAAAGAAGGAAATAATGTCATTTATAACAACCAGATGAACCTGGGGGGACATTATTCTATGTGAACTAAGGCAGTCACGGAAGGACAAATGCTACATGATTGTACTTACGAGGTATCTAAAATAGTAAACTCGTAGAAGCAGAGAATACAGTAATAGTTGTAAGGGACTGAGGGTGGGAGAAATGGGAAGTTGTTATTTAAAGGTTGCAACTTTTCAGTTATGCTAGATAAATAAGTTAGAGATATGCTAGTTCAGTTACGCTAAAGAAATAAGTTCGAGAGATCTCCTGTACAACATAGTGTCTATAGTTAATAATGTATTAAGCAATCCAAAATTTAAGAGGGTAGATTTCATATTAAGTGTTCTTATAACAAAAGAACAGAATAGATTGTTAATTTTTTTTTTTTTTTTTTTTTTTGAGATGGAGTTTCACTCTTGTTGCCCAAACTGAGGGCGCAGTGGCGTGATCTCGGCTCAGGGCAACCTCTGCCTCCTGGGTTCAAGTGATTCTCCTGCCTCAGCCTCTTGAGTAGCTGGGATCACGCCCAGCTAATTTTTGTATTTTTGGTAGAGACGGGGTTTATCCATGTTGGTCAGGCTAGTCGCAAACTCCCGACCTCAGGTGATCCACCCGCCTGGGTCTCCCAAAGTGCTGGGATTACAGGCGTGAGCCACCGCGCCCAGCCAGAACAGAGTAGATTGTTAATAAATCTTTATATACAAATAGATTTTTCTCCCACATGCATTTCTATAACAGGTAATCAGCAAAGTAAATAATCATTTTGGGGCCGGGTACGGTGGCTCACGCCTGTAATCCCAAGACTTTAGGAGGCCGAGGTGGGCTGATAGCTTGAGGCCAGGAGTTTGAGACCAGCCTGGCCAACATAACAAAACCATGTCTCCACTAAAAATACAAAAAATAAGCCAGGCATGGTGGCACATGCCTGTAGTCCCAGCTAGTCAAGAGGCTGAGTCACGAGAATCCCTTGTACCTGGGAGGCAGGGGTTGCAGTGAGCCGAAATTGCGCGACTGCACTCCAGTCTGGGTGACAGAGTGAGACTGTCTCACCAAAAAAAAAAAAAAAGAAAAGAAAAAATTATTTATCATTTTTGGAGCATCTGCCCTCCTTGGTGCAAATGAAATAATTTTTCATTTTTAAAATTTATTATTTTCTGTTTGTCACATATATATTATGCCATGTAATCTACCAAAATCCTGCAGAGGAGGTTTTATTTTAGTCCAGTTTTTTCGTTGGAGAAGCTGAGACTCAGAAATGTTAATTAACATGCTCAAAATTACACCCCTAGGACATAAACATCAGTTTCTCACTTAGTTGCCTGATTAGAATGATTGTGCTCTTTCTACCCTTCTACTAACCACAATGGCTGGTATGGAGTAGATGCTCAATGTTAGACCCTGTACTTTTTGAATTTCACTAAGGTCAAGTAAGCAGATAATCAGCAACCATTTGACTCTGATGCGAAAAAAAAAATTTTTTTTAACCAATCTCAAAAGTGTACTCAAGTTGCTGACAGAGAAATCATTGCTTACCTTTGAAGCAGAATATTCATATCCTCCCCACAATATTACTCCCGCTGCCCCCAATGCAGCACTTTCGCCAATTGTATGCACTAAGTCCTCCTAGAAAAGAGAGGTATCAGGAGTAGTTTCCACCAAGTCAAATTTTGTCACTGATAATGCAATAATAAGACTCAACCCCTCAACTGTGGTAAGGAACACATTAATAACGGTATCTTTGTTTCTAAAACAAAGGACTATACCACAGGGTAAATACTGCATGATCTCAGATAGAATCTGAAAAAGTTGATCTCATGGAAGTAGAGAGTAGAATGGTGATTATCCGAGGCTGGAGTGGTTAGGAGGGAGAGGGGATTGAGGAAATGTTGGTTAAATAACATATAATTACAATTAGATAGGAGGAATAAGTTCAAGAGATCTATTGTATAGCATGGTGTCTACAGGTAATGACAATATATTGTAGTCTTGAAAAATGCTAACAGAGTGGATATTAAGTGTTCTTAAAAATAACTGTGAGGTCATGAATTTGTTAATTAGCTAGATTTAACCATTCTACAATGTCTATGTACCTCAAAACATTATGTTGTATATGATAAATACATACTACAATTGTATATGTTGATTAAAATATAAATTTTAATACACAGAAAAACAGCATTTCTTTTAAATAAAGCTATCATACAAAAAAATAAAACAAAAGACTATAGCAGAATTGGAAAAGGTGATACTGCCTTGGATTCTTACATTTACTTGAGAAATATTTGCAATGTTCCAGGCAATATTCTAAACACTGAGAATATAAAAATGAAATAGATTTCAATTCCTGTTCTTGAAGGAATGGTTTTTAGTCTAATGGTTGAGACAGACATATAAACAAGTGACTATAATATCATAAGATAATTTTTATATTAGTAGTACTCACAAGGCATATATAAATTAGAAGTGCTTAATACTTCATGGAAGAGTCTGGGAAGGCATCCTTGAACAGGTTAAATTTCAGATGACTCTTGGGAATGAGAATCAGTAGACTCTTGAGAATGAGTATGAATTCACAAGACAGTCTAGAGAGAGCAGAGTTTTATATCCAAAAGGGAGAATAAGAGCAGAGACTCAGATCCGGGCAAAATCACAGTCCATCCGGAGAACTCCCAGCACTTCCTTGTGGTAAAGCGTACAGAATTTGGTAAGTAAGAACATATGAATTTCTATGTATAAACAGAATCCAAATACAAACATAAAAATGCTGTTTTAAAGTGTTAAGACAACTGGCCAGGCGCAGTGGCTCACACCTGTAATCTCAGCACTTTGGAAGCCCAAGGCAGACAGATCACTTGAGGTGAGCAGTTCGAGACCAGGCTGGGCAACACGGTGAAACCTTACCTTTACTAAAAATACGAAAATAGCCAGTCATGGTGGTGCTTGCCTGTAATCCCAGCTACTCGGAAGGCTGAGGCAGGAGAGTCTCTTGAATTCAGGAGGCAGAGGCTGCAGTGAGCCAAGATCTTGCCACTGAACTCCGGCCTGGGTGACAGAGTGAGACTCCATCTCAAATAACTAAATAAATGCAAAAATTTAGTGCTGGAAAGACACAAACTTGCAACTTTGATTCTTTTTTCTTTTTGCATATAAAGAATGCATTGGAGGCCCGGCATGGTGGGTAATCCCAACACTTTGGGAGGCTGAGATGGGTGGATCACCTGAGGTCAGGAGTTCGAGACCAGCCTGATCAACATCGTGAAACCCCATCTCTACTAAAAATACAAAAATTAGCCAGAGTGGTGGCACACGCCTGTAATCCCAGCTACTTGGGAGGCTGAGGCAGGAGAATCACTGGAACCAGGGAGGCGGAGCTTGCAGTGAGCTGAGATCGCACCATTGCACTCCAGCCTGAGTGACAGAGCGAGATTCCATCTCAAAAAAAAAGAAAGGAATGCATTGGAGGGGAAAGTCAAGATAGTACAGGCAGGAACACCAATTAGGAGGTGATAGAAATAGTTCGGTGAGAAATGATGATGCCTCAACAAAGGTAGTGTCAGTCCTTGTAAAGCAGAGGGAACAGATTGAAGAGTTATTTGGAAATAAAGATGGGTAAGTTTTAGTTACCTATTGGATAATGGAAAGAGGAGAAGGGAGGCAGCCAAGTGACTTTCAAATTGGGTGACTATCTAGATTACAGTTCACCAAGATAAGAAACTGAGGATGTTATGCTAATGAATATAGGCCAAGAGCAAAGAAGTAAGAAATAGGGAGAGATGGGAGATAAAGGGGATGACAGATGGAGCAATCTGCATTCTTTTCTCCCCTACAAGGTATGGAGAGTCAGAGATCCAGTGCAAAGGTGGAGTGCTCACAGACTGCAATGAGTCAATTGTCACATCACTGTAAGCTTTCCTGTGTGGTAGGAAGGTTTCAGCAATACTGGTATTTATGTTCTGCAATTTGTCTAAGTAATACAACAAGAAATGAAATCATTCTTCCGTTATACTGACTAGTATCACATTCCTTAAACCTAAATGTAGTCACTTATTTTAATTGAGACACTCCTGAAGGCAAATACCAACCAGAACTGATTTTTAAAACATGCATTGGGGCCGGGCGCGGTGGCTCACGCCTGTAATCCCTGCACTTTGGGAGGCCGAGGCGGGCGGATCACGAGGTCAGGAGATCGAGACCATCCTGGCTAACACGGTGAAACCCGTCTCTACTAAAATACAAAAAAAAAAAAAAAAATTAGCCGGGCGCGGTAGCAGGCGCCTGTAGTCCCAGCTACTCGGGAGGCTGAGGCAGGAGAATGGCGCGAACCCGGGAGGCGGAGCTTGCAGTGAGTCGAGATGGTGCCACTGCACTCCAGCCTGGGCCACAGAGTGAAGACTCCGCCTCAAAAAAAAAAAAAAAAAAAAAAAAAAACATGCATTGGAAAGTTATGTTACTTAGACAAAAGGTGAGAAAAACCCATACTGTTTTTTGATAAGTGATACATGGAAGGCAGTAGGAAAGCATTAAGACAATTCAATATAATGCTCAGGTGATTCTATATATTTTGGTGAGTGAAGAATGCAGTCTATTGATTTCTAAAGTAGAGCTCAGAGGTGATACTTAACCTATAATTTACTTTAAAAGTCTAATGTACCCACAAAAATTAAAAATAAAAAAGATTAAAAAGCCTAATAGCACGAAAAATAGGAAAGCAATGAAAAGCTTTTATGAAAATGTGGCTCATCTCATTCTCCCGTTTTCTCTCAAGGTGAACTCTTTGACTGCATGAATTATTATTATTTTCTGCTGTTATTACTAATAACATGTAATTCCTGACACAATGTAGGCACTCAAGAATTTCTGAATGAATAAATATAACTCAGGTTTTTTTCTGAAAAGGATTTAAGAACGTAAAATGATTTGAGAAAGCTGGCATCACTTGAGGAATATCTTAGCAAGAAGACTTTGGTAGGCATGACTGATATCCTAGAATACCTGGACAACTGGCTTTTGAAAGAAGGATTTGATGTATTCTATGTTGCACCAGAAGGTAGAATTAGAACTAGTGGTATGAAGTTATTGGAGGCAAAGTAGATTTAAAAAAATAATCTAAAGTAGATACTAAAAAACTTTCTAGGAATTAATATTTCCCCCAGACGGCAGTTTTCCTTCTAATGTAAGAAGCGGCCCCATCAAAAAGGGTTACAGTAGAGGCAGGATGAGAAAGGGTTTTTATTTAGGTAGGAGATGGGTTAAGTGCCCATGAGATTCTTCCAAATTTTTGTCATAATGCTATGATTCTTTTCCTTCTAAACTTATTGAATGATACTGAGTAATCCTGCAGTGTCAAGTCTAATTAATAATATTTGGATTTTATTCTGAAATATTTAGGAAGAATTGCTACTGCTTTTCAATGGTTTTAAATGGCCTTATCTCAAACCTAAGTGGTCTACGTAAGCTGTGTATTGTCTATACAACAGCTTTGCTTCTGTGTTGGGTACTGCCATAAAGAATTGTTAGCTGTCAGGTGTGGATGGAGATTTGAAGGTTTTCTTATCTAGCCACCCATCCAATGATTGAATCCTTATGATAATGTCCTATGTGACAATCTAGTTCAAGTTTGAACACTTGCCATGTCTTCAAACTTATTATCTTCTAAACAAGCTCATCCCTACATCTGTAGGCTTCCAGCTTTGTGTTCAGTCTAAAGACAGTATCTGTCTCCTTATATAAACCAGTTTTAATGCCTTGACAATAACCACTAGATTGCACTGTAGACTCTTAAAGACAAAATCAAGAGAATCTATGTAATTTTTTCAGTTAGCCTAGCTAATTAAAACATACAAATGCAATATAATGAGAAATGCAGCTGATTAATAATTTACCCCAAGCTCTATGTTGTACGTTTTTGATTTGGAAAATTGCCTTTTCATATTAAGAAGTTCATTCTAGGCCGGCCGTGGTGGCTCACACCTGTAATCCCAGCACTTTGGGAGGCTGAGGCGGGCAGATCACGGGATCAGGAGATCGAGACCATCCTGGCTAATACGGTGAAACCCCGTCTCTACTAAAAATACAAAAAAAAAAAATTAGCTGGGCGTGGTGGCGGGCACCTGAAGTCCCAGCTACTTGGGAGGCTGAGGCAGGAGAATGGCGTGAACCCGGGAGGAGGAGCTTGCAGTGAGCCGAGATGGCGCCACTGCACTCCAGCCTGGGCGACAGAGCAAGACTCCTTCTCGAAAACAAAATAAAAAATAAGTTAGTTCTAAAATTTCTCTCTTGTTAAAATTACTCTATCTGTTACATTATTTAAATCAAGTTTAACATCTGTTCTGTAAGAAACTCCTGTGAGTGCTAAGCTGGTAAGAATCATTATCCAAAAGGGTTAAGTGCACATCTAATTGTCAGTGACATTTTTCAGCACTGAGTTGACATTTGAAGAAATATACATGCTTAAAAGAGAATAAGATTGTGTTGCTAAGGGAAAATAAATATCCTAAAACATTTATGTGGAGGCTTTATATAGTTATTCTACAAAATTTCCATTTTTTTAAAAAAAATGTGAGTGACTGCTTTTCCTTACCTGTGAGAGAGCTTCAGTACTATGCAAATAAAATGGTCTGGAAAAAATGAAAACCGGCAAAACATAGTCATGTCTAGCCATTTCAGCAATCCTCATGGCTTCTCTCACCCGATAGTGAACAAATTTCAAAGCATTTAAGCTTGACTTCAGTATTTTATCCAAATATATTGAAGGATAAAGCGCTGCGCTTTTCTCCCACAGCCACAGGAGTTGGTCATTGCGGAGAATTTCATCATTCGGACAATTACCTGTGTACGTCTCTGGATTTATTCTGTAATCATAATTGTAGCAGTCTGGGTAGAGATAAAAGCCCCATAAACATTTTGGTCTCATTTCTAAAGCCAATGTGAGAGTAACGTTCATGAAATTTTTTCCAGCATTTTCAAATTCCTCTCGGGCAACTGTTTCCACTTTCATTTCTGACCAATAAGGATGATGGTTTCTAGTGAAGGCTAAAGAGTGGTTGTTATATATTATTCGGCTGCCCCGATTTCTATCCCACTGGGGTTTCCAACTTTCCCAGTCAATAACAACAAGTCCTTCTGATCTCCACCAAGGGACAGCTTCTCCGATGTCATCAGCAGCTTTCCTAAGATGTTCAGAAAGGCTCACGTTCTGCGGTATTCCTCCATTAAAGGATTTTCCATCTTGAGAGAAGTAAGGGTAATACCCTAATTCGTTTGGATAAATTATGGCAATTTTTGACCCACTCTGAGTCTCTAAAGGATTTGATATAATGTTAAATACTTGAAGATTCATATTCACGTTGAAGAAAGGCATACAGTACATTGTTGGGGCTGCCCAGAAAATGCTGAAAGGCTGACTGTCGATCACCGGAGGCATTGCTGGTTTGAGGGCTGCCTGAGTTAGCAGGATGAAGAGTGGCAGCACTCCTAACCACGCCACCCATGGGTTACACATGGCTTGAGGTTTTCAGCATTACCGCAGTCTCCTTAAAAATAATAAGCAAAATATCATACATAATGGAGTCAAATGTCCCTTAAGTTTTGTGGTATACAGTGAATAGACCAAATATTTTAAAATATCTTTCAGGTTTATTAACATCTAGGCCAATATAGATATTATAGTCTATATATGGATATTATAGGCCAATGTAGTTTCATCTGAACAAGGCAGGATGAGTGGGGCTTTTTTTTTTTTCACTTGAAATGTGAAAAAAAATCTAGTCAATAAAAACTATAAAAAGTTTCACACATTCGTCAGCTACGCAAACTCTAGCTGCTAGCCATTCTGGTTTTAATTTCCTACGATTCTGAATACGCTAACCCAAACCTTCTTGTACTGACAACCCTTTGCTGGCTGTAAGAGGAACTAGAAAAGAAAGGCTGAATGGATTGTCATATCTCCTTATTGATTACTTGCAAAGTGACTCCAAGAACATGCCCACTTGAAAATTAACAAATATTGGAATTTTAACTAATATTAAATAGAACAAAAAGAAATAACTAACTGTACTAACAGTAATACTTTACATGCAATTTAAAATGCACTGGCCTCAGATGTTTGTTTTTAAAACAGAGAGCAGTTACCCTTGGAACCAGCATAGGCTGAAATAAAAAAAAAAAAAAGTAGAAATTTAATTACCTTTTGTTGATTATGGATTTTGGTGCTATCATCTTCTCTTCGATATATAAACAAGCCTAAAATCCTTTTAGTTCTTTAACTCCAGTGGTTTTCCTATAAAGAAACTGGATTGTATACTCAGCAGTTAAACCCTAAATAAACCTTGTCTCTTTAGGCCCCTCTAACTAGTCCGTTGGGACAAAAACTGCCAAAGAATCTTCCCAGAATATAAGGACTATCTAATAGTTGATGCATTCCAGCCGACAAGATCTCATCCTGAAAGCAATATGGTTGCAGTTATATATCAAAATTATCTTATCGTATGGATTTTTTTAAATAAAGGAATTTATTTTAAACAGATTTTTCTCTGATATAATTAAACTCAGTTTCTTTTTAAGAGTCATACATTGTTTCTCATGTAGTTCTTGGTGTCTTCATTTAATGTACTAAATTCAGGAAAGACACCAACCAAAATTGTACGCTAACTCTCACAACATAGCACCCAAAGTTTGTAAAGAAACTTGAGTAAGTCGTAGGCTCTCTGTACACTGAATTTTTAAGTTGACAAATGTGAATGATAATTTACTCTTTTAAATAAACTGGATATTACTGAGACGATTGCCTTCATGTGGCGTGTGTATTGTAGCACCAGATGAATCTCTAAGCTATCAGAGATGGTTTCTCTCCCATCACTCTTCTCCAATCATGAGATCTTAATTTGACTCCCATTCACCCACAAAAATATGTAAGCAAATCTTCTTCATTCTTTATTTGTTGTTCAGGTAAAATGTAAGAATATCTACTCTCCATAAATATTATTCTTTACCTCCCTCTGGTCATGACTGCACATTGGGTACATATGCCTAATAAACTGACACCCTTGGGAAAAAAAAACACCTTTTTAAAATGTCGTATCACAATAAATTTTTTAGAGTCAAAGGGCCTAAAAATACAAAATATCGTGCTTTAGTAAAATACAGTTACAAATTTCCTCTTCTAGGAGGTTTTCATTATGTTTTCCGTGTATATAAATGATACACAATCATCTATTTTTGTAGCTAACCTATGGAAAAATTATTTTGGCATTATTTTGGTCCCTAGTCTACATTGTATAACAAACTTCTACTACAGTAACAAAAATATGCATTATAATTGTATGCATTTTTAAATATAATGAATTCTTTCTACATGCTACTTACTGAGATTTTATGTTTTTCTAGCCATTTCTATTATTCAAGGTATAAAACTAGATCTACATTTTTCCACTTATAAAATATATATACTAATACATACATATACATATATACATACATACATACACTTGAATGTTTATTCAACAAATCTGATATGTTTCAGGCAAGTAGCCAGGTCTAGCGAACCAGTGGAGAAAGCAACATAATTTTACACATTGTAAAAAGGTATAGATACCAGCCAGACGCAGTGGCTCATGCCTGTATTCTCAGCACTTAGGGAGGCCGAGGCAGGCAGATCATGAGGTCAGGAGTTTGAGACCAGCCTGGCCAACATGGTGAAACCCCGCCTCTTCTAAAAATACAAAAATTAGCCACGTGTGGTGGTGTGCACCTGTAATCACAGCTACAGGAGGCTGAGGCAAGAGAATCGCTTGAACCTGGCAGGCAGAGGTTGCAGTGAGCTGAGATTGTGCCGCTGCACTCCAGCCTGGGTGATACAGTGAGACTCTTTGTCTCCAACTATATATGACATTCTGGAAAAGAAAAAATATGGAGACAATAAAAAAAATTAGTGGTTGCCAAGGGTTGGGGAGAAGGATAGATGAATAGGTGGAACATGGTGGATTTGGAGAGCAGTGAAACTATTTTGTGTAATACTTTAAAGGTAGATACATGCCATTATACATTTGTCAAAAGCCATAGAATGCACAACACAGAGAGTGAACCCTAATGTAAACTATAGACATTGGATAATAAGAACATTTCCATGTATCAGTTATAACAAATGTCCATGTCATCAGCTATAACCAATGTACCACTCTGGTGGGGATGTCAATAGCAGGGAAGGTTGTGATATCAGGGAGAAGAGCGTATGTGACAAGTGTCTCTGCTTTCTGCATAGTTTTGCTAGGAACCTAAAAGTGCTCTAAAAAGTAAAGTCTATTTGAATGAAAAATGTTATAGATACAATTGCATTCACTGCTACTATGTTTGTAATAGAAAATCCTAAAAACAATATCTATGTGATCAACAAGAAGTTTCTTAAATATACTGTGAACTATATTATGGTAATTCCACCAAATACTATAATATGAAGTAACGTGGTTTTTTTTTTTCCAGTTTCTTGTTGTCTTTCAACTTTTTCATTCATTTTGCCATGAAACCCCTCACAAGAAGAAAGTCAGCTTTAAAGAGCCAATTTCAGATTGACACCTGTCAAGTAAACATTTTCTGCTTCTCTTGCAGCCACTGATACCCACACTTCAACCATGCAGGAACCAGAAGCAACCTAGTATTTGGGAAAAAGTACTTGGCAAGGGATAGAGAAGTGAAACACACCTTGTCTTTTTTCCTGGCATATTTTCTTCCATCAGATTTAATCCAGAAGAATGAAAAAAGAGTTAACTTTTACTAAACTTTGAATTTAACTTTATAAACTTAATTAGTGACCAAAGTGATAAAATCTGGTTGTTGAGACTAAGGATCTGTAGGTGACATAACTTTGAGGGGTTTAGTCTGCTGTTCAGTTTGATCTGATGGCATACGCTTCAATAAGCTGGGGTTGTTCAATAAATTGTTAACAGGAGGGACACTTGCTCCCTCCCTGTCCAATAGGATGTGACAGGTGAGAGAGAACACAACTAGCAGGTAAGAGAGATGCAGAAGAAAAGGTCCTAGAGATGGATGGTGGTGATGGCTGCAATGATGTAAATGTACTTAATGCAAGAAAGAATGTTGCAAATGCTGGGCGCAGTGGCTTACACATGTAATACTAGCACTTTAGGAGGCCGAAGGGGGCAGATTGCTGGAGGCCAGGAATTCTAAACCAACCTGGGCAACAAGGCGAAACCTTGTCTCTACAAAAAAAACCACAAAAATTAGCCAGGCATGATGGTGCATGCCTGTAGTCCCAGCTACTCGGGAGGCTGAGGTAGGAAGATCACTTGAGCCCAGGAAGTGGAGGTTGAAGTGAGCCAAGATCATGCCACAGTACTACAGCCTGGACAATGGAGTGAGACCCTGTCTCAAAAAAAAAAAAAAAAAAAAAGAAAGAAAGAATGCTGCAAGGGAAGCAGTGCACTTGGAGGACAACCAGTTTTCTATTATAGCAAGAAAATACAGAGAAGACTCAGAGAAGATGTATTTGATCTAGGGGATTCTCTTGACTGGAGATTTTAAGTTACAAAGAATATAATGAACAGGTTTTCAGGGTCAGGGGGTGGCATGATCTTGGCTCCATTAGAGGGTGTAAAGCAGAGCACACAAAAGACGAATAATAACCTGGGAATTTGGGCTTCTTGTGTAAAAGGCATGATGGAATGAGTTCTGATGGATTCCTCAAGGAAGACGAATAATCAGTTTCAATTATATCCTCCTTCTTGTCAGTGGTGCTATGGTCTTAATGTTGGTGTACCCTCAGAATCATATGTTGAAACCTAATCTCCAATGTGATTATATTAACAAGTGGGCCTTTGGGAGATGATTTGGAAGGCTCTGCCCTCATGAATAGGATTAGTTCCCTTATTACAAAGGCCCCAGAGAATGGCCTTACCCCTTCCACCATGTAAGGAGACAGTGAAAAGGTGCCATCTATGAACCGAGGAGCAGGCCCTCACCAGACACCAAACCTATTGGGACCTTGACTGTGGACTTCCTAGTCTCCAGAACTGTGAGAAATACATTTCTGTTGTTTAAGCTACCCAGTTTAAGATATTTTTGTTATAGCAGCCTGAACAGACTATGACCATTGGTATCTTAGACATTCTGTAGTAGGAAGATCTAGAGAGAAAGGGCATCAACTTTCTCTCTAGATCTTTCAGAGTTCTATGAGGTCTCTTTTCAGTTCTGCCAAGGACAGTGTCCAAAATGAGCATGAGGTTTTACCATGCTTTCTTTTCTTTATACATTTTCTGCAACTGAAATGTGAACCTATTGAGATGGTCTAAACCAGAAAATACACACACACACACACACACACACACACACGTGATAATATATATAAAATATGTGTGCGTGCGTGCATGTGTGTGTGTGTGTGTGTGTCCATATTCCTGTGCAACTGGGAACTTCATTCTTTCCACTCAAGAATAGCAAGTTTTATCAGGGAAATACATTCTTATGTACTATGAAATCATCAACCACTAAGTTCATTATGATAAAACATTGTTAAACCTAGGACCCAATAAAAAAAAAATCACATTGGAGTTTGCAACAACTTTTAATCAACAAAGGTATATATATACACACACATATGTATACACACACATATATATACACACACATATATATACACACACACATATATATATGTATACCATAAAGCCCTTTGTAATGTGTTATGGAGCATTCCAAGCAAAGACGAGAATTTCTTTCATGGAGGGTCTTGTTTGCATGAAAGCTTAAGCCCTGGCCGGGCATAGTAGCTCACACCTGTAATCACACCACTTTAGGGGGCCGAGGTGGGAGGATTGCTTGAGCCCAAGAGGTTGAGACCATCTTGGGAAACACAGTGGGAGCCTGTCTCTACAAAAATAATATTAATAATAATAATAATAATAATAATTAGCTGGATGCGGTGGCATGCACTTGTAGTCTCAGCTATTCAGAAGGCAAGGCAGGAGGATCACTTGAGTCTGGGAGTTTGAGGCTACAGTGAACTATGATTATGTCATAGCATTCCAGCCTGGATGACAGAATGAGTCCCTGTCTTTAAAAATATATAAAAAATAAGCCAGGTGCAGTGGCTCACGCCTGTAATCCCAGCACCTTGAGAGGCCGAGGCAGGTGGATCACCTAAGGTCAGGAGTTCAAGACCAGCCTGACCAACATGGTGAAAACCCGTCTCTACTAAAACACAAAAATTAACTGGGTGTGGGGGCACACACCTGTAATCCCAGCTACTCAGGAGCCTGAGGCAGGAGAATCGCTTGAACCAGGGAGGCAGAGGTTGCAGTGAGTTGAGACTGTGCCACTGCACTCTAGCCTGGGCAACAGAGTGAGACACCACCTCAAAAAAAAAAAAAAAAAAAAAAAGAAAAAAAAGTAAAAATAAAATTAAGCTAAATTTTTTTTTAAAAAAGGAATGTTGAGCTCTAATGATGATATGCAGCATCAATCAATTTTTTTCAAACCTGCAGATTATTTATGGTTTTAGTTTTCTCAAAGAATAGTAGTAGCTTTCATGAAAAGAAAAAGAAGAGAACTATTGGTTAAAGCAGACTTGATACAAAAAAGCAAATCCTTTCCATTTCCATACACATTTTATTTATTTATTTATTTTTATTTTTATTTTTTTTCGGATGGAGTCTCACTGTTGTCACCCAGGCTGGAGTGCAACGGCGCAATCTTGCCTCACTGCAACCTTCACCTCCCAGGTTCAAGTGATTCTCCTGCGTCACTCTCCCACGTAGCTGGGATTACAGGTGCCTGCCACCATGCCCGGTCTATATTTTAAAATAGACTAGTCATTTCTACCAAAAAGTCTGCTGATTATTTTACTGCAATGTCTGTCTTTTAACTGGTGTGTTTATGTAATATAATAATTCTATTACATAATGTAACAATTAGTACAGTGGATTTTGTGTCTATGATCTTACTACTTATTTCCACTTTGTGTCTTCTCTTTTTTATAAAAAAAAACTCATGTCTTTCTTGCTCTTTCACTTTATCTACTGCCTCCATCGTTCTATTTCTTTTTTATTATGCTGTTAGTGGTTGTTCTGGGACTGATAATGTAACTTAAATTATCAATGTCTACCTAGCTTCAGTATTACTGTTATTCACACTTTACATTTCATACCTATCACTTTCTACTTTCCACTTTTCAATTCTCACTTCCCCCTTCACATTTTACACTCCGCATTTCAAAAATGTAATAACTTTACATTAACATAATTCCATTTATACCTTCCTTCATTTAAAGACATAAGAATTGGAAAGGAAAAGAATAAAATTCATATCCAACAACATTATTGCTTATGCAAAAATTCAAAAGAATCTACAAATCACATGAAATAATAGGAGAGGTGAACAGATTGTTGGATATGAGTAATATATGAAAGTCAGAAGTATTTCTACTCACCAGAATAATTGAAGAGAAGAAAAAAGAAGATTCAAAACTTGTGCAAGACTTCTACAGGGGAAAGTTATTCATCTTTATTGAGATTATATTATAGGAGACCTAAATAAATGGACTTACAACTTTTTCACCCTTACCCTTCACTACATAGCATAATCTCTTGATTTACACTAATTTAACCTTTCCAAATCCCCTGGGGAAGACAGACT